AGAGGAATGAACCTATAATATTTAACTAATGAGATAGCTTGACATACAGAGAAAATTATTACTAAAATTACTAAAGATTACTAAAATCTTTTCTTTTTTGGACCAGGGATTGAACTCAGCGGCACTTGACCACTGAACCACATCCCCAGTCCTATTTTATATTTTATTTAGAGACAGGGTCTCATCGAGTTGTTTAGTGCCTCACTTTTGTTGAGGCTGGCTTTGAACTCACGATCCTCCTGTTTCAGTCTCCAAGCTGCTGGGATTATAGGCACGCACTACTGTGCCCAGCTATTTTGAGTAATCTTATTTGGCAAAACAAGGTGGGGCAGTCACCTTCCTTTTTTATATCCTTTCCACACAGCTAGTTCCTTTTGTGATTTTTCGTTCTCCCAAGGCCTAGAGACATTTGAATTATATGGCCTAGTCCTGCAATGCTGGCAGTCTCTTTTATTCCCATTGCATTGATGAAATTTTTGTGTGTGGGGATGATACATGCTCAATTCCCATGCTAACTAGCTTACCAAATTGAAAGTTCAAATAAGCTTGCACACATAGGACGCTTTGGCTGACCTCCTGAGGTGAAGTGCAGATAGAATTGCAATAAAATTGCACTTGAGTCTTTGGAATCAGTAGTTTCTAACCTTACAAGAGTGACCTTTGACAGGTTCAACAACAGAACTACAGAATTGGTACACATTTTATTTTTTTGTTTGTTCTGTCACCTTTAATAGTGTCTCATATTGGTGTCCAGCCTGCAGTAGACATTGAGTACTTATTAAGTGAAGTAAATGTGTGTGTGTGCATGAATGAATAGATGCTTCTGGGTTAAAATGTGTTAGAGTTGAGTTATGTCAGAAGATAATTTTATGAGCTTTTCTCCAGGTGAAGGGAATTTGGCTACAGCCCACACCAACACTGGCCCTGAGGAATCAGAAAATGAGGATGATGGATATGATGTCCCTAAGCCACCTGTGCCAGTTGTGCTGGCCCGCCGAACTCTCTCAGACATCTCTAATGCCAGCTCCTCCTTTGGCTGGTTGTCTCTGGATGGTGATCCCTCGACAAGTGAGTCTCCAGGCTCCCTTGGGCCTATCCTGAATTGCTGTCTAGCTCCTAATTTATACTGAAACAGATGATGTCCTCTCATGGCAGTAAGTCAGTAAGTAGTAGTGGTAGACTAAATAAATCCTGTGTCTGAATGGAAGAAAAGCTGGTTCTAGAACTCAAAGTAGGAAATGAAAGTAATCAGGCTCTTCAAGTTTTTGCCAGACTTAGATTTGAGGTTGTCCTTAAAATATGGCTCCTCCCATTCTGGGAGTAGGTAGGGTTTCTAGCTCTTCTGAGTAGGCCTGTGACAGAAGTAATTAAGCTTGATGGTTCAGACCACACATTCCTTTTTCCTGGCCCTGGCCCACTGGGAAGGAGGCATGCTGCCCTGGAACACAAACAAAATGGGCCAAGAGCCAGCCCACATTGAGCCTTGACTGTTGGGGCTCAACAGCACCTGTGGCAGCAGCCAGAGTTGCTGTCACTTTGGAAGTTGAAGAGAGCTTTCAGGACAGCTGGTGAAAAAGAKCTACAGCATCCAGTTGCCTAAACAGGTGGTGATCACCACTCAACCTGGCTTAAGGCATCTTCACTGCAACTTAGGCTAATTTCTGCCTTTTTGTTTGTAGGAGTTTAGTATCTGCTCTGGTCCATTCACAATTTTTAAAAATCCAGATGATTATGTGTGTGAAAACCTTGCTAAGTATAAATCATGATGCAGATGTTACATGCTCACAGCAACAGTTATTGTTGATAAAACAGGTGCATGGTATATTTAGAAGGTGGCACTTACTATAAGGAGGTGGCTAGATCCAAGAGCCTTTTAACCTCTAAAACCCAGGTTTGTGACAGGGGAGTACATGCCCCTAATTAACAAGGGTCAGTAATATCTTGATATTAATATATTGTTGTTACTATTATTACTGCCGTTAAATGAAGATTTCCCCCAGGTTTGCAAATATTTCTTTCCTATTTCTTCTAGACTTCACTGAGGGTTCCCAAGTTCCTGAGCGGCCCCCTAAACCATTCCCTCGGAGAATCAACTCTGAACGAAAAGCGGGTAGCTGTCAGCAAGGTGCCAGTGCTACCGCCACACCTCCTGCTGCCTCCTCACCTCAGCTCTCCAGTGAGATTGAGAACCTCATGAATCAGGGTTACTCCTATCAGGACATTCAGAAAGCTTTGGTCATTGCCCACAACAACATTGAAATGGCCAAAAACATCCTCCGGGAATTTGTTTCTATTTCTTCCCCTGCCCATGTGGCCACCTAGCACATCCCTCCTTGCAGCGGCTTCAGAGGACCCACGAGCCAGGCTCTTAAGGAGCACCTAGGAGGGCAGAGGCTCCTTTGGGGACTTCACAATGAGGTCCTGCCCTCTCTGTAGGTATCACACCTGTGGTTCCAAGATTTCAAAGCAGTGGAATGAAAGTGGAGCAGCTAGTGTGTTTTATTATTATATTGGTCTTGAGAGTGCATTTGAAGGTGTCCTTCAGTCCCCACCAGGAGAGTGAGTGGATTTTTATTACATGGTAGCCTACCTGGGGGAACAGTCCAGAAAGTAGTAGAACAGGTATTGTGCTGTAAACCCTAACGGAGGACATAAGACTTTTCTGGGTTAAGGATGTGACTGTGTGTGTGTGTGTGTCTGTCTGTCTGTCTGTCTGTCTGTCTGTGGTTGTATGTGTTCTGTGATTATGATGATCCTGCTGTGTGTGTTAATTCCAGGCGGGGAATTAGCACAAGAGATTCAGGAAGGAATCTTTTAAAGACTTCTATCTACTGTGGTATTACCCCCAACTCTAGTGTGTATTACAACTTCAACACTCCACTTTGGCTTAGATTATCATGTGCATAGCTCATATTTTTAGAATTCCCTTCCTCTGTTCTATCCCCTTGCTCTGTTCTTTCCCCTATCAGCTTCTTTCTCCTCCTCCTTGGTTTTCTGTCATTGTCAGCAGGCTTGCTGTGGCCAGCCTTCCTGAGGCTAAGCAGCTTTTATAGGATGTTCCTTATTATGTGTGATGGTGTTTGGTAGAGATAGTTGGGAGAGAGAGTACTGTTGCTACGTTGTTATGATTTTGTTTGACACTAGGAGCTAACACTGGTCACTCCAAAGCACTGTTTCTATAGGAACATTGAATTTGTTAAAATAAAATGTTTGAACTATCCTAATTACATAATGACTAATTGAGATAGAGGCCTTCAAATACATTCCATGTCCTCCCCAGAAAATAGTCTGAGGGAGTCCGTTGCCTTGGTGCCAGGTGTGTGTCCTGRTATAGGTCATGAGTCTTTCTACTTAATGGAAAGGGAAGAACATTTGTTTCCAGGATAATTTTCTGGCCCTAATACCACAAAGTTTTTAGAAAGCTTCATTCACATGCTATTTAGATGCACAAAATAGATAGTAAGGATTTGGATTTATTTGTTCAGTTTTTCTTAAAGCTTAGGTATCCAGTTGGGAGTCCTGTTCTTCAGTTCGTGTGGATAGTGCTCTATGGCCCCTTGAGTTCAGTTCTCTGTCCTGAGTCTTTTGCTGACTTCCCTAATAGTGGTATCCTTCCTCCATGTCATAAGCAAGGCTGCTCTTGGATAAATTACCTTCCTTGGTATCTAAATCTTGCTTTTGTCATTAGGTTCAGACAAAAATGGCTCGCCTTAAACCTGCTTTCTTTCCATTCTTGGCATCTTTGGAACTGAAACCTTTACTAACTCTTCTCTTGGTATCCAGCTACTTCTAGATCTTTTATTTTTGTCCTCTTGTCTCTGAACTATTTATATTTCTGGAGCAGAGCAAACTCTAGTACAGGACCTCATATTGATTTGCATAGCCCACCAGCAGGTGCAGGAGGCCCTACTCTGGGGTGGAGGGAGGCAGGGAAAGTGGGCACTGAATGGCAAAGAGTAGTCTACCATCCTCTTCTAAAAACTGACAACATTCATTTTGCATTTTGTTTCAATATTTAAGGACTAGACAAAGAACTATAAAAAATGACAACAGTTTCCAGGCCTATCCATGGTGTAATTCTTCTTTCTCTACAGATACTGTCCATAGTCAAGATCTGTCAAGAAAACCAAGCAGTCACTGCATCTCTTTTGCCTGTCCAGTGTATTCACATCTTCTGTGGAGGTTATTGCTCATACTGGCTGGACTAAGGGTCATTTCATCCTTTATTTTCCTTAACACCTGTGTAGCTCTTCAAGTCAGCCCTGAAAAGAGTGTCTAGGTTGCTGGTGGAGCACATGCATTGTTGACTGGCTTGGGTAGTTTTAGTTTGTCAGGTGTGCATCTGCAGGCCCTGAAGGCTTTGAACCATTACATGAGGACCTATCCTTTGGATGTTCTAAGGACATATGTGGGCTTGTGCCTAAAATTGCCAGGTAAGCTTCAGGAAGGTTTTCATTTGGCTCTTGTTTTCAAGATAGTCTCAAAACTTGAATTTCTTACATTTTCTTTTGAATAAGGCACCATTAACCATTTCTTATCCTCCATATGGTAATTTTTAATTCTTTGGCACTTGCTTTGAATTTAACTAAAATTGCCCTTTCGGGCTTTTGAGTTTTCCCATGTTGGCAAGATCATCCCTTTCCCTCTCCTAATTACATATAGTCAATATGGTCAGGAGACCCACTTTAATGTTTTCCTTTTCATCAAATTAATTAAACCATTCTATTCAACCTAATTTCCTGTTTTCCCCACATTTTCCTGACTTGCTTTACATAGCCTGCCTCATTGCTGGGTCTTCCAGGTACTGTGACTGGACTTTTCCAGCTGCCTCTCCCCTGTTCCTTCTACTAAAATGAAAGGGTTTTAAGTGAACTCTATAATATACCTCCCTTTAGTTAAATAATAGACTCATCTCAGCATGTATCTGTTAATATTTATTTAAATATTGATCTCTACCTGTGGATGGCTATTCTCCTGTACTAGTCTTCTCTTTCTCTCCACAATCGCACCCTATATATTCTGCCTTTTTTTTTTTTTTTCCTGTTCTCTTTCTCTTTGTAGACAGACTCTCATTGCCAGAGTCCAAGATGTGGGATACTATTAGTATCATTAGGTGTTCTGTGGATAAAGGGGGGGGGGGTTGCTATTCTTTATACTTAAAATATTTACTTCCTTTATAAAAAGTAAAATGTGTTTTATGGTCCCAAAAGCAACTTACAAATTAATTTTTGTAACACAACTTTCTTGCGAACTAGGGATCAGCTTTAAGACACCTTTAACAAGATCTAGTGTTTTTTGTAGGTGATTAGCAGTGGTGTTAATGCAGAATATTTTCCTACCTCATGTCATGAAAGTTAGAAGGTTATTGACCTTATACTTTGCTTTTGCTGTTGGCCTTTTTGACTCTGGAATGACCATTGTCCACTGAATACTGCCCTGGTTATAGCAGTTCAGTTGTTCACTCAGCAAATGTTTGGGTGATTAGCATGCACCAGGAATGTCAGCTATATGTTATTCCCTTCCACCACATGGTAGTTTACTGATGTTGAGGGATTGTACTTCAGGCTGTCTAGCACTTGAATTTGATCCTAAAATATCTCCTCCAAGTAAGATTGTACAATTTTATTCACAGATTTTATGCAGACTTAACTATTCTTAAAGATCTGTGCTGGTTAAAATCAGTCTAAGACTTTCCTCTGAAATCCCTGTTGTCTTCCTATAGCTTTTATAATATTGAGGAGATTCCTTGGTCTGAGTTTCATGGATACCCACCTTTGTTATGTCTTTCAGTGGCATCTATTTGGCTTAAGAGGTATGTTGGCTTAGAGTTGTATAGTAGGGCATTAAATGTTTAAGCAAAGGATCTGCCCACAGGCCCCTTTCAATCTAGTGCCTTCTTTGATCTTTTTACTGAGCTGCTTGTGTCCCTAATCCCCATTCTTGTGAAGGTTTCTCTTTTAGCCTTCTGTTACCTTTTACCATCCCTTACTACTGGGGATTTGTTTTCCAATCCTTCAGTGGCCTTTGCAGCTAATTCCATGTCATTGAAGGGGTGGAGATAGGAGGCACCTGTCTTTGGATCCTGATTTTCGGTGGATTGTGTGGTCTTCTGAGAGCCAGTCAGTAGTACAGACTGGACTCAGTGCTCTGTATCAGCATTTCCTTCAGAGCAGGGAACCACAGAGATGTCAGAGCTTAGTATCAACACCTTATTATTCTCCTAAACCCTAACACTTCAAAATTCAATCTAAAGTATTCTAACTTCACCTAAAACATTTCTATTACAACTTTGATCTTAGTCTACATTAGCAATCTTTCTTTAGGAAATGCACATAACCACTTAATTCATGAAGGAGGGCAGATGGTGGAACCAGGTTGAGATTGTATTTTAACTTTCCTGGTTACGGATCCTTTGGATACAAGAAATATTCCAGGTAAAGAAAGGAGGAAGTCAGTGATAAGGGCAGAATATTTTTATGGAACCCAGGATAGGAAGTACAGTTGATTCTTGCATGGTCCCTCCTACTTCATAGCCTGTTTGCATGGATAGCTTCCAAATAGGCACCCCAGTCCTCAAGTCCATGTGACCCTCCAGCTCTAGGGATCACCACAACCACGAACAGATTCCCAGTTCCTCTTAGTTCATATTCTTAAGAAAGAATAAACTCAGCCCAGCATGTTGATCAGATGTCCATCCCTGACCATTTGGCCTTCAGGAAGAACAGGAAGGTGTGGCAAATGGCAGCAGCATCAGAACTAGGGACTTCTACTCCAGTGGTAAAGCTGCTGTTGTCCTGCTTTTTTGAGAGTGGGAAGACAGACATCAGAAGGTGTCTGGGTCATCGAGTAAATCCTTAGAATCACTTTAATTCTGCTCACTGTCTTTGTTTCTTCTTTATTTCTTACTTTTCTTCGTCTTATGAGTCTTGGCATCCAAGATTTTTTTCCTCCCTCTTGAGGGCATGCTAGTCTGTTCCTAGGTGGCATTTCTTAGCCACCCTTCAACCTCAGGTCTTCAGCCTTCTTTCATGTCACTGAGAAGAGATCACGATTCCACTTAGCTACTACCCTTGAATTTGTGGACTCTTCAGGTTTTAGTGTTGAATATCTATCCATCCTTTGAGCTCCTGGCTATCTTGCATCTCCTCTTCTCCTCTTCCTTGTTGTCCTGTGTGAGGGAGCTCTGCAGTGTTGTTCCTAGGCACCTCAGAAACTGCTTTGCTGGAGCCAATAAAAATGGGTGAGAGTTGGGATGTTTCCAGGATATAGAGATTACAGTGTAGTATAGAGCTTCTACTGCAAGCTCCTTAGATAGGATGTCTGTATTTCCCTGTCCGATTGCTTTCCTTTATATTAAAGCTCCCCCCCCCCCTTAAACTATGCTTCACCTTGCCTGGATCTATTGTTTTTCCCATCCTGAGCCTGTTTTGCATTATAAGGCATTTTATATGCCTTGCTTATAACTTTTTTAAACTACCAGAGTCATTTGATATACACAGAAGTAACCTAATAATCCAAAGACATACATCAAGGCACATGGAAGGGTAGGTCACCAGATTTTGTGTTTGATAGTCTAGTCTAGGCTCCTAAATTAAGGATTAGAGGGACAGTAGTGCCATGTGCCTTCACAGTGTCCCAGGAAATCTGGGTTGTTCCAAAGGGAAGAATCAGTATTCCTTGGTTCCAGAAAGTAGTAAAAGAGGAAGAGATGGAGAAATAAGGACGGAGAGAGCAGACCCTGCACATTCATTCAGCGTCAAATGGAAAGCCCCCAGGCAGAAGAGCCAGCTGTTGACTAACAGACTAACAGCTGTTTGGAGATCTTGCCACCCCTTTCCCTAGTATAGTGTTTGAGAAAAATGTGGCTGACCACTCCCTGTGTTTTACAGAGTCAAGGCTGAAAGCCAGCCTCAGATCTCCTGATCTGGCAGCTGAACAAATCAGCAGAGTTCTGATCACCTGGCTTTGTAATCCTGATTCAGTCCCAAAAGAGAATGTGAGCAGCAACCCTCCACATTGCCTTGCACATGTTTTTTCCTACCCTGAACCGGATGGAAGGCCAGAGAAGATGATTGCTCAGCACTTCTGCAAGCAGCTCCTCAGGCTTTACACTGCCTCCCTGCACAGGCCCTGAAGTGGGAGTGCTGGGTGCCTGTGTCACTTCTTCCTCCCTGCCTACCTCTGACCCCATGGTGGGTGAGGGTAGCCATGCTATGGCTGTCTTGAAACTGAAGAGGCAGAGAACTACTTGAGTCTGTAGACCATGTGTTCTCTCCCATGGCCTCTCTCTCCTGTCCTGTTGTTGGGGTAAAGGAGCCTATAGTACAATGCCTGTGGAGAGGAGATGGCTCCTGACCTACCCTGCTCAGTACTGTTTTAGTGTCTTGGCCTTGAATGACAAGCCCAATTTCCTGCTGAAACATGTGGCAGGGCATGGCAGCTATGAGGTACCTCCTACATCTGCTTTCTGGCTGTGGCTACTTGGGATTTTTAACCTTATATATCTTTTTCCTTTATTCAAAACAATTTTTAGCACACTGAAAAAAAAAAAAAAAGCCAAACATTTTGTGCCTTTCTAAGGCAGCACTGTATCCAAGGCTGCATTTTAGGACTTAATATGGAAATGCCCGAGTCTGAGCTCCTCTACCTTGAGTATCCTTAGCCCTAGAGTCCAGGGAATAGGAAGAGTCTCTCTGTGGCTGGAGATGTGGCACACAAGATACAGTATGCCTGTGGTCCCTTTGCTCTATCATGAGGCTTTTTTGGAAGACAGCAGCATTGTACTTGGGATCACTTGTTTGGTTCCAATCAGCAGCTTAGTTATCAGATTGAATGCTTTGTCTCTTGCAAGAGACAAAATGTTCCACAATTTCCAGATATACTCTGGACCATTCCAAGTGCCCCAGCTCCCTGATCATATCAATGACCCTGTTGCATATGGAAAAGTATAGGGTGGACTCTCCTGAAAGGGGGAGGCAGTTCTTTTTTTTTTTTTTTTTGCTGGATCCTGAGCCAGCCTAGACCTCCTGCTTCTTCCTCAGACTTGGCTTTCCTTTCATTTGAAGTCTTTAAACTTAAAAGCATTAAGTAGCTAGTGCCCTCTACAAGGTCTGCTTTTCCCCAGAGAAGGGCAGCAAGGAATATGTACCAGAAGCCTGTCGGTATTATTATTGTAATAGGTTTCAGCAGGAGGAAATTTTCTATATAGTGACATTTTACTTATCGTTTCCTCAATTCTTCCCTGCCTTTAACTAATAAAGAATTGGGAGATAGAAACAATTCTTTATAAAATCCTCCTTATTCAAGATTTTGAAATTCTTGACCTGCRTGGGGCTGGAGAGAACTTGATGTTTTCTCTAGAATGAAGAGTCCCAATTTGTATATCAGTGTTAAGAAAACAAAACAGACACTTAGGTAAGATTTTTGTGGACTATTTTAAAAATGTGTCATTAATATAAAAAAAATTATATTAGCAGTATTTAATCATCCTCACCTGTAAAGAACAAGAAAAAACAGAAGGTAAATATTCTTACAGAGAATAGCAGAGCTTTAAGATTCATTTTCATTTTAAGTCCATTGTTTTGCCAATGTATTAATGTTTAGAGGTCTGTTATACTAATGTTATTTATTAATTATTTTTCATTTCCATACACAGTTAACTAAAGAGCTTTTCAAGCACCCATGTCTGTAAAAGAAGTATTTTTAAATAAAGTTTTTTTTTGTTGTAGCAGACTCGAGTTCTTGCTCATTTGGGAGGCAATATATGACCAGATACTGAGGTGGGTTCTGCTTGGCCAGCAGTCTGCCAGGCCCCCTGCTGCTGAGAAATGGCGGGGCTATCCTCTCTGGGGCAGAACTGGAACCAGAAGAAACCCTGGTCTCCACTGGCAGCTGCAAAAGGTTCTGTATTCTTTTGGGGGCAGGTGAGAAACCCCAGGTACCTGTGGTACCCATGATGAATGGAAAGCACTGCACAACTTCCAGGACAATTAAGCTTTATTTTTCTCTCACACACACACACACACACACGTACGCACACGCACACACATAGACACAATTTGCAGATTTACATACAACAAAACCACATGAGCAAGCATGCATGTGACTACACACTCACACACACCCCAAAGCTCTAGCCAGGCCCCTGGTTTTTCATCCCTAAGTACCATTCTCCTATTTGGGCCCTTGTAGAGTCTAGGCCCATTAGCTCAGTTTATAGAAATTTGGTGATAATATAACTATAGCCTTAATCCCCATAAAGGACAGGTCACCTCATCTCTCTCCCTCCATCTCTCATCTTTCAGTCTCACATGATCCTTTGAGGGCACTGGGAGCCATGTAAATGTAGAGGCTCAGGCTCAGAGGTCTTCACAGGAATGTCACCCGGCTTCCTCCCTGCAGGACATATTCTTGAGGAAATAACACCAGTTCCTGATTTATGCCCAAAGAGAAAATGTCACAAAAGAGGCAGGCAGGAAGTTATAGCAGCGACTCTGCCACTGCTTCCGGATACTACAGCATACTCTCCAGAGCCAGCAAAACTGACATTCTGTGACAGTGAAYAGGCACCTGGGCCCTGGTGCCTTCTCATGTCAGGGGTACAAATGAATTACCAAAGCCAGCCTGGCGGGGGGTAGGCAGAAAACCAGCTCGGATAGGGGCTGGTAGAAGACAGGTATTTATAGCTATAGCATATTTAAGGAGAAAACATGTTCTACAAGAAACTTCAGTCACTTGTGGGGAACTGAGGCCTCTTCTGAATATCGCATAAGTGGAGATAGAGGTGGACTGGGCCCTAAAAGGGGGCCTCCAGGGCTAAGTGAGGTCCTTCTTGGGATGGCTCTGGCCCTAGCCCATAGCCCTCTAGAATTGATCTGTAGGTGTGCTGGAGCAGGGTCTTCTCTGTAGTCCCTTTGGGGGCTTTGGCTGGGGAAAAGAGTGAGCAGGGAGCCAGAAACTGTCCAGGTGAGGAGAGAACCAATGTGATTCCATGGCTAATGCCTCAGATCGATGTATTTCTCTCCCTAAAAATGGGTAGAAGAAAGGGAAACATGGAGACAGTTAGCAGAGTTCAAGGTGAGTACACTAAGAGGAAGGAGGGAGGAACTGAAGCAGAAGCTGATGAACTTGGTGCAGCATCATGGAGGGAAGAAGCTGGGGTGGGTATGAGGAGCAAGGAARGACAGACAGCCCCTGATTCTGCCTCTGCACTGGGGAAATGGAGGCCACACTTCACGCTTCTGGCAGGAGCCACAGGCTTTGTTCAGGAAAGGTGATGGTGATGGGACCAGGGCTTTGCCCTCAGCCTTTCTACAGGGTCTCTCCGCCACTTGCCTCACCCTGCCATCTGTAAGTAGTGTTTAGTAGGCAAGATGGGCCTGCTGTTTCTCCAACCAAGAAGGAAGAAGGGCAGAAAGAGTTAGTGTTCGGAAACGAGCACCATTAGTCCCTGGCACCCCCAATCCCTGAAGATTTATCAGACACTGGCCATAGGAACTGCCTCCTACCTGGTCTCCTGGAGCCCTCTTGTCACCGCTGCTGCCCTGTAGGAGGCCCATCTCTTCTGGGAGCTTATCTGACTTAACTTCAACTACAAATTCGCTCTTATGAGACGGGGGCAGCGTGCTGGGAGGAGGGAGGCGAGAGGTTGGCAACTTAGGGGCAAAGGGGGGGGGACTGTTAGGAAGGATGCTTGGATGGATAGATGGTGGGCTCTTTGGGGGCTCTGGGGTCAGCTCAGAAAGGAAGCAGGCAATGAAAGAAGGTGTGGGGGTGGGTGCTGGGCAGGAAAGCAGGGCACACCCAACCCAGGGTCCCACTCTTGCTTCTAAGGGGTAAGTGGGCCTTGGGGCAGATGACATGTGCCTAAGGAGGCAGCAGGCGGGGCAGCAGGAGAGGGGGAGGGTAGCAGGGGTCTGTCATGCTTACATCTCTTGTTTGCCTGACCGCCCACACAGCAGCTTGCCCTTCTTGTAGAGGAAATAGAGGACAGCGCCCAGCACAGCCAGGACCAGGATGCACACGATCACAGCCACAATGACCACGCCCTTGCTCTCYTGCTCCCGCAGCTTTTTCTCTGTCAAATAAAGCCACTCCTAGTCACTCCTGGCCCCAGGCTGACACATTGCCATTGCTGCCCCACCCAGCCCAGAGCAGGCAGAAGATGGGCCGCCACTCACCTGTCTCAACATTGCTCCCCACTGTGGGGACAGGGCAGAAAGGGTGCCCTGGCACAGCCCTGTTCTCTTGCCAGGCCCGGCTTACCTGTGGAGGTGCTGTTGGCTCTGGCATGAGGACTGGCAGTGGAGGTGCTGAGGCCAGCTGTTTTGCTGGAGTCTGGTGTGAGGGTGGTTAAACTGACTGGGAGGCAGAGGGAGGGAGTTAGGAGAAGCTCACGTTAGTGCCCGTGCCTGGGCATGCCCCTGCCATCCTCTGCAGGGATGTGGCCCCTCACCCAGCTCCAGGATGATGATGGTGCTGTTTCTGCCCAGGGAGTTGGAAGCTGTGCATTCCGCGCCCCTCTCCAACAGCTCTGGGGTCACAAGGACATTCAGAGTGCTCAGCACCCTCTCTGAATCTTGGTATTCTTCACTTGCCTGTGAAGAAGGAGGCAGTTCAGTGGGTGGAAGGATCTCCGGTTATGGCTGCAAGGCCTGGGCAGGGATTAATAAGCGCAGAGGAAGAGGCCCCAGGCCTGCTTACAGAGCCGTTGATGTTCCAAGAGATGGTGGGCCGAGGATGTCCTGATGCTTCACAAGACAGATTAAGCATTGTATTCTCTTTCACCCACACCTTCCTCTTCTTTGATGCCATCCATGGGGGACCTGGGGGAGGTAGGAGAGGGTGTAGCAGCAAACTCAGCATGCTTGCCTCCCCTTCCCCACCAGAGCTCCCAGGGCAGCAGTGGCTTTCTGGCATCAAAGAGCTCAAAACCACCTGACTTGGGGTGATCTGGTCTCTGCCCAAAGGGCCTCACCAAAAATGGCCACATTGACTAGCTGTGTGCGGTTCAAGCCAGGTATGCTGGGCACAGATGCCACGCAGCGGTAGCCTCCTCCTATCTCCCGTTTCAGATGGTCAAAGTGAAGCACAGGCCCCTTTTCCAGCACTTGGCCTGTCTGGGGGAGAGGTCGTTCAGAAGGTCTCAGAAAGAATAAGCTGTTGCCCACAGCCCCAGATCCACCTGGATACCTTTTCTCTCAGCCACTGGAACTCGAGGGCCTGGTTACTCTCTGCCTTGCAGGTCAGTGTAAGGCTACTGCCTTCTTGGCCTGCAGGGGCTGCGGGACTCACGTCAACATCAGACACATCTAGGGGCACAGCAAGAGTGTCAGCCTGGGCAGGACAGGTCAGGGCCACTTCCCTCTTGCCCCAGTTCAGCCCCCCTGTCCTGGGGGCCCCCAGCCCCTCACAGTTCACCAGCAGCTCCTGGGGTTCACTCAACAGTGGTATCATGGTTTCTAGGTCCAGACCCTGGCATTCATAGAGCCCGCTATGCTGCTTCTGGGCAGGCTCCAGCACCAGGAGGCCATTGTCAGTGGATCTCTCTTCCTCCATCTCCCCGGTGCTGGGATTCTGGGAGAGGAAGAAGCAGTGAGCGGCACCGCCCAACCACTCTATCTGCATCTGCCTGCACCCACTCTGCAGCCAACACCAAGCCCTCACACCTGCTTGTGGATGCTGAAGGGAGGTGTGGGGTTGCCATCCGCCAAACATCTGATTTCCACACGATCCCCTTCCTTCAGCATTCCTGCAGGCTCCACTTCCAACCACACTTTTTCCGCTGGGTCTGTGTAGGCAAAGGGAGTTGTTCTCAGCCCAAGAGGTGCCCTGGGCTGGATGGGAACAGGTTGGCAGGAATTTCCACCAGGCCCACTTCAGTGAACAGATGGACAGGTCAGTACTCACAGAAAACGGGGACAGTGACTTCCCTAGATTCCTTCATGTGGTTCCCACTGGGCAGTCGGTAACTGAGCTCACAATAAAATCGGGCATCTTTGTCTTCCTTAACCAGCTGTACCTTCAGAACACTCTTCAAGGTGTATAAGCCACTTGACTCCACGATCTGCGAGGACTGAATGTGGACACCTGGGCAGGGAGGAAGGGGAGCAGGGCCTGGCCTCAGCCCCACCCTGTAGTTCCCACCATGTTGGCAGGGGAGCATCTAAAGACCCCTGCCAGCTGGGCATGGGTGGCACACACCTATAATCCCAGCTACTCAGGAAGCTGAGACAGGCAGGAGGAACGGCAGTTTGAGGCCAGGCTCAGCAAGTTAGCAAGACACCGTCTCAAAATAAATAAATAAATAAATAAATAGCCCTGCCCCTGTCAAGTGGCCAGGGTCAAATGCAACCTGGCAACTTTTCAACCCAGCACTTTTAATGTGCTAGAAAAACATTCACACAACAGCATATATACAAAGATGTATGCCAGTATTGCTGCAGCAACGTATGTGAGGTGCTTGGGAGTGCAGTCAGTGGTAGAGCACGTGCTTAGCATACACATAAGGGTCTGGCTTCACCCCAAGGGCCAAAAACAAAATAAATTACCCAAGGTGATTAGAAAAATGAGACACGCTAGACTCATCAAGCAGGAACAGCAGAGTCTAAAACTCTGCAATAGGCACAACAAGTACATCTACACAGACTGAGCTACAAAGATTACACAAAAGAAACTGTCTAGGGCTGCGGTTGTGGCTCAGTGGTAGACTACTTGCCTAGCACGTGTGAGGCACTGGGTTCAATTCTCAGCACCACATACAAATAAATGAATAAAATAAAGGTTCATCAACGATGAAAAAAATATATTTAAAAATAAATAAATAAAAGAAACTGTAGCAATGCATACCACACTTTAATGCTTCTCAGGGTTTGCCAACCTCACACTAATGATGTTTCAGGCTAAAAGTGAGTCTTTGTGGTGAGGCATCCTTTGCACCATACCAAGTGTAGCAGCATCCCACCTCTACTCACCAGATGCCAATAGCACCCCCTATACTTTTGATAACCAAAAATCCCACCAGACACTATCAAATATCCCCTGGTGGGGTGCAAAAGTCAATCCTGGTTAGAGACCACTGATTTAAATAATAAAATGCCTACATGCTTCTAGAGATATTTGTGTGTGTGAATAAATATACAGAAATAGGCCTGAAAGAACTGACAGCAGAGGTTACTTCTGATAGTAAATCAGAGGAACGTCTAACTTTTCTGTGCAATTCAAATTCTTGGGACTAGGGCTCTAACTCAGTGGTAGAGCACTTGCCTACTAGCAGGTACAACACCCTAGGTTCAACCCCAGCACAGGGGTGGCAGGGGGGCCGGTGATATCCTTTATCAAAATATTTCCAAACATCACTTGTTGCCGGGTGCACTGGCACATGCCTGTAATCCCAGCAGCTCAGGAGGCTGAGGTGGGAGGATCATGAGTTCAACACAGTGAGACCCTGTCTCTAAAATACAAAAAAGGGCTGAGGATGTGGCTCAGTGGTTGAGTGCCCCTTAGTTCGATCCCTGGTACAAAAAAAAAGAAAAAAAAATCACTTGTTGATTTATTTTTTACTTTTTCCAGTTCTGGGGATTGAAACCAAGGCCACTCTATCACTGAGCTATACTCCTAGCCCTTTTTACTTAATTTTTATTTTTGAGTCAGGGTCTTCCTAAGTAGCCCAAGCTAACCTCAAATTTGTGATCCTTCTGCTTTAGCTCCTAAGTCATATATTTTTTTCTTTTTTTAGTAAAAGCTAAAATAAGTGGTTAGTTAGTCCCTGTGTGGTACCACAGGCAAGAAGGGTACTCACGATTTTTCTCCTCCATCAGGGGTAGACGATTCTTGTACCAAATGACTTGAGGAATGGGGTACCCATTCCTCCCTATACAGGTGGCGACCTAAGAAGGAGAGGGTATGAGTCTCCCTGCCTGACACCCCACCAAGGCCCACCTTAGCTCCTGCTTACACTTGGTCAGCCCAGCATATCTCACCTCCTCAGGCTCCTTGCTGTTCACAGAGATGCCCAGGGCACTGGCCTGGATGGTTGGCTCCTCTGGAGCTTCTACAAGGGGAGGAAAATCAGCAGGAGCACTGGAGCCCGCTTCCCATGATCCATACTGACGTGAAGGCAGGAAGGGAGGGGCACTCACTGAAGACATGGAGCTGAATGCGGTGCTCCTGGGACCGAGGACGCTTACTCTGGCACAGGAAGATGCGCTCATCATGGGGCATGACCTGAGTCAGAGCCAGAGCCCCTGGGCCCTGGAGGCTGAGACGGTGCTGGTATTCCCCAGGCTCACTCTGACCCTGGCCCTGGCGCACACGGAAGATGAGTGTGGGCTTCTCCTTGTAGACCTGAGGGGATGGGACAGAGAGGTAAGGGTCCTGGGTCTGCATGGGGGGCAGAGCTTCCCACCTCCCACTGCCCCTGGGAGCTCAGGAACTCACAGAAAACCAGTCCACATGGCTGAGGTTGCCCAGGGAGTGCGAAGGGCCACACCTCAGAAGGGCCGTGTTGCCCACTTCCACCTCCACCAGCTCTGGTGTGGGCTGCTCCGCCTCTCCAGGCACACCTGGAGGGAGGAAGGGGTGTACCCCAGCAGCTGTGTCAGCTCCAGCTGCTCCCCATCCCTTCACACTACTCCCTGCAGCTGTTTTCCTGCCACTCAGGAGGGCCCGAAGAAGGCCCTATCCATTCCTAACCCTCAACCTCACCCTGCCTTCCCCCAACTCACAGTCAGCCCTCTCCTACTGCAGGGGGATCCTGGTCCTCAGAGCGAAGACTGAACATGGGGCACTTCCCAGATGAGGATGGCAGAGGGGAAGAGGGGCAACATGAATAGGCTCTGGGCCAAGAGGAAGGTTCCTTTCCTCCTAGGTCCCCTCCCCTGCTCTCTGAGTGAGCTCAGAGTGTGGGAATGCAAGGCATGTGCCAGGCTGGGGCACACAGGCCCCTTTGTGTCCCCATCCCCAGGGCAGACGTCACTATTCTACCCTCTGCCTACTCCCCAAGTCTCCTCCCTAAACCCCCAAGAAGACCTAATGAGCCAATCTGGCCACACTCTGATCTCATGCTCCCTAAGCTCCCTAAACATTCCACATACACTCAGGGGATCTCATCCTGGGAATCTGGTGAGTATGGAGGGGTCAGAGTCCCCCAGGGGTCAGGACAAGGGTCAGGGAGTGGGCAAGAGTGACATTAGTGGCATTAGTGGTGCCAGAGTGCTCCCAATCCTGTGAGGAAGTTATGTCACTTGACACCATCTGGCCGGACCCTAGGATGCCTGCCTTGAACTGGCTCCCAGGCAGGGAGGGCCAGTGCAATGGTCCTCAACCCAGAGCAGAAGCCTGCGATTCTTGACTCTTTTTCCCCAGAGCCAGAAGAGCAGGGCAGGGTGCTGCGGGACCCTCTGCAGCTATGGAGCCCTACTTAGCCCTTTCCCCAGAAATAAGGTCAGCCTAGGAGGCAGTAGACTGGAATACTCCAGGGATATGGCTGGCACTGGGCATGAGGCCAGCCAAGTGGGTAATGCCCAGTCCAACCCTTCCCCGGGCGGATAGCGGCTGTGATCAGGGTAGAAGCCAAGAGTAACACGCCATACCGCTGCGGGCCATACAAGGGCAGCAAGGACCCCGGGAGGGCCCAGCTACTAGGCGGTTCCAGAGAAAAGCTCCCAGGTGCTTGGGCGCTTTTCCCACCAGAATGTAGTCCTTAAACTAAGTCCACTGGTGCTTCCACTCTAGAAATGCTCCATCCCCCGTATCTACCATCTATGCCGGTCACCGAGGAGTCGCGAGGCGACCCACACTGCCTACAGCCTGTGCCAACGCCCAGCCCGGCAGGAGCAGCCGTTCCTCCTCCTCTTGCTCACCTCCAGCCTGGCGCGAGGCCCAGGCCGGAGGGGGAGGGGTCGGCGCACCCCTCCAGCTAGAAAAGCTGCCTTTTCCAGCAACAGGCGGGCGCCGGATTCAGGGGTTGGGGATGCGCGCTGGTTGCACCTCCCATCCCGGCTCCAAAAGCCGGTCCCCAGAGTGGGCACCTGCGGAAAAACTCTCCGAGAGCCTCAACTCCACCCTTTCTCTCGCGCGGCAGCAGCCTCCACCCGGTCTTCCCAGTCCTGATCCCGGATACTCTAGAATCCAGACTGCAAACTGGATGCAAAGAATAGTTGCACGCGCGCAAGGCGCCAGGGAGCCCGGCGCTCGGGCAGGGGAAGCGCCCACTGGGGCTCAAATCCCCGGTGCCGCCGCGCTCCCGGCTCTGCTCTCCCGCACGCTCCCCCTGAAGACCCTTGGCCCGGGCGCTGCGGGGCACGGGTCCCCCAGCCAACTCACTCACCAGTGGCGCGGCGACAGCAGCAGCAGACGACCAGCAAGAAGGCGCAGAGGAGTCCGGGTAGATCCATGCTTCCCGGCCGGAGGACGAGAGCCAAGTGAGGAGCTTGCGACTGCCGGGGGCTGACGTCAGGGGGGCGGGGGAGGGGGCCCAAGCGCTGGCCTGCCCCGCCCCGCGCAGCCCCCCGCCCCCGCCCCCGCGCGCAGCAGCCCTAGGGGGCGGTCCCCGGTGCGCCGGCCCCTAAGCCGAGCTCCAGAGCGCGGCCGGAGGTAGGCCGTAGCCCGCCTTCCAGCCCCCAGTTTGAGCACACCACGGGAGCAGTGACAGGTGTCTTGGGGCCGGACAGACTGACCGAGGAAGCAGCGAGGAGAAGCTGGTCCGGATGCCCAGAAAGGCCCAGATCGCCACAGCGGTGTTCACCCCAGCTCAGACCTTACCAGTGTAGCCCTGGGGGACCTCCTGGCGGAGGAATAGCGGATCAGGTCCTCTGTGTCCCTGATGGGAGCCTCCCATTCAAGCTCCTCTGCTCCGCCTCAGAGAAATTGGGCCAGCTTTGGACACCTCCCAGAATGATTGCTCCACTGCGCGGCTGCTGCCGGTCTGGCACTGCCCCCAGCCTGGCTGTCCTGGCAGCTTTGGGGGAAGAACCGTGCGCCAGGTTCCACAGACCCAGAGGTACCTGCAGGGGGGAGTGGAGAATGTGCCTTCCAGTCTGTCCCTTCAAGCCCAAACTCCCGCAAGTCCGTGTTTAACTAGAAAAGGGAGGGGGCTGAACTCAGTGACCAGAGGTGTTCATGCTTGTCCAACCCTGAGAATCCTGTTCCTACCATCTTTTCTCTTTAAACTTGACCTGGGAATCAGTTTCCTCCCACCAGAATAAGGAAAAGAGAGGGAAGATTTAAAGGATGCTGGATCCAGCTGAGCGCTGGTGATGCTTACCTGCAATCTCAACTACTAAAGAAGCTGAGACAGGAAGATAACACGTTTGAGATCAGCCTGGGCAGTTTAGCAGACCCTGATTAAAAAATGAAAAGGGCTGGGGCTGGGCTGGGGGTTGTGGCTCAGTGGTAGAGCACTTGCATCGCATGTGCTAGGCACTGGGTTCGTTGGATTCTCAGCATTGCATATAAATAAATGAATACAATAAAGGTCCGTCAACAACTAAAAAAAAAAGAAGAAGAAGAAAAGGACTGAGGGAGCTGGGGATGTAGCTCAGTTGGTAGAGTGCTTGTCTTGCATGCACAAGGTCCTTGGTTCAATCCCCAGCACTTGGGGAAAAAAAAATACAGAGTCTCCAGCTTGACCCCTAGAAATCTCTTGCTTTTCCTGATGGTTGAAAGGACCCCTGAGGCAGTGCTTTAACTGATCCCCAACTCCCCCCCACCCTACTGACTTGGTTCAGCAGCTGGAGGAGGAACACATGCAGGAGGGATCAGATCTGGTTGCAGAAAGCCCTGCCTGAGCTGGGTCAGTCATTCAGCATGGTGAGGGGAGCCCGACAGCTACCCTTTTCCCCAAACTGAGACTTCTACCTGAGTCTTCTGGCCTCCTAAGACTTCAGTACCCTGGCCTCTGGTAAGGATCCATATATTTTGGGACTTCTTCATCAGATATGGTCAGATTGGGGCCTAGATCTGGGGTGAAAGTCTGTCTCCCACCAGGCAGTCTTTCTGCTGGCTGGGGGGAGGAGCAGGGTGAGGCAGCAAATGCCAGAGATGGCCAGGTGACTTGAGAGAATGCTCTGGGTGGCGTTTTGATGACGCAGAGATGACTGGCAAACCACATCAGCCTTGTCTTTCAGAGCCTTGCTGACCCCTCCTCCCTGTCCATTAGTCTCCAGCCAGAGGCCATGCCAAGCCTGCCAGGCCAGGGGCTGGAACATGGACAGGAGAGAGCAAGAGGAGGACCCTGGCTYTCCTGACCCCTAAACTAAATGTATGGACTCTGGCCCAGGGCCCAGAGCAAAAGGGAACAGATGAAGGTTTTTGTATGCAGGGCAGGAGTGGGAATAGCTGAAGGTTGCTGTTTGCCCTGGCAGGCCAGGAGCTGGGCATGGACTGGCTTCCCTGCCCCCTCCCCTTCACTTAACACCATTAACTAATCATTCTCTTCTCTGGCAGCCTGAAAACACAGCCAGCTAACCACCAAGGACAGTCAGTTCTGAATTCTTCTTCCGCCCTTAGGAGACAGAAAGGGGGGTGTTGGGGGGGCGGTTGGAAGAGTCATCTCTGCAGTGAAAGAGAAATGAGATTAGAGCCCAGGGGTGACATCTCCTCCCCTGCATGGCCCCAGCAAACAAACATATGTCCTAGGAAAAGTCCATTAGGGAGTGAGTGGGAGAGGTCAAGGGACAGACAACATAGGGATGGTTCCACAAGAGGGTCACTTTGGGATTACAAACCAAAGAGGGGTCAGGACTTTGGAGAGGATTCAGAAGCCAATGGAAGCAGGAAGGACAGGAACAAAGTCAGGAGTGCAGGGCAGGTGGATGGTATCACTCCCGGCTCCTCTAAGACGCCAGAGGATACAGCTTTGGCAGCAACAGAATTTCCAGGACTGAGACTCAGCACACAGGGATATAAAGGAGAAGGCAGGGGAGGAGATGGAGGAGAAAGGGGCAGAGATGGGCCTTTCACCCCAGCAGAGACTCATGCACTCAAGGAAAACCCTTGTCAAGGGTAGGTAGGTCAAGGGTAGAAGAATAGGTCTCCCTGGCTGGGGGCTGGGGGGTGGGGTAGAGTCCTAATTCTTTGCCTCACTTCCCTCCAGGAAGTGGGGCTAGGACTGCAGCTTTTCTCCACCCCCATGGTAGACCTAGGCTCCTGAGCTGAGGGGGCTCTCTCCGTGCAGAATGCCTTTGGGTGCCTCTCTAGTATAGGTCTGATAAATAAGGTGGAGAAACTGAAGCTGGGTGAGGGAGGTAGCCTCCTGGGCAAGTGGGACTTTCCATCCATTATAAGGAAAAGTGGGGAAGAGTAGAGTTGGAGGCAAAGAGACAAAGTCACTCCACCAGCACCTTGTGGGGAGACTGGCCCCAGAGTTCTCTCCTAGCTAACTTTTCCTTAGTGGGCACAGTGGCTTCCGACCCACCTTCTGGTCCAGGAACCTTAACCAGAAGGATGTGACAAAGGCAGGCTGGGCTGAGGAAGGAAGCTGATAAAGACTAATTTGCAGCTGCCATGAGAAGGAGATGGGGGCGGAAGGGGTGGCCTAGCAATCTTGGCAACAATGAAGGTCGGGGAACCCCCTAGAAGATAGAAACTGGCCTGGGTCTTGGAGGGGATGCAGGAAACTTTCCAGATTTTTTTTTATGGGGGGGGGGGGKTCTGATTGAGAGGAGATTGTGCTGAGAGTGAAAAACAGGGTGGGAGGAGGGTGGGGGACAGTAGCTGCCTAAGACATCTTTGGGCCTGCAAACCGGATACTGGGTGTGGGCTGGTGGAAGATGTGGGGGAAGAGATTGAATGGGGGGAAGCCGCCCCACTCCCTCCGGACATTCGTGTCCTTCGCACCTGACCTAGGGCAGGAGGAAGGAGGTGCAGTCTGGATGGAGGTGCACCCCAGCAGCACTGGTGGCTTTCTGGGGGGATGGGAGGGGTTATTTTTAAACTTGGAAAAACCGTGAGTTCATCTCCACCCTGGAGGCGGCAAAGGCCCCATTGTGTTGGGGTCCGGAGAAGGGGGAGGCTGAAGGGGGGGAGTGGCACAAAGGCGAGGATTATGTTGGAGCAGGCTAGGGGAGCACAGGGTGGGGGAGGGGCACCGTCGTCACAGCTGGCCTACTGAACTCTGGGGTCGGGCCAGGCTGGAGCTTGGGCTTAGACCAGTGGGGAGGCGAATTCCACCCTCACAAAGCCCCTGTTGGGGAGTTGGGGTCTCCCACACCCGACATCCGGTGGTTCATTCTGGGGAAGGGGCTGATGGTGGGATTCCCACTGCCTGGCTTTCCCAGGGACTGCAGGGTCTGTTCTCAGGCTCCCGGCATTCCGGGGACTCCCCTGGGAGCTACTGGCCTCTCAGTCCCTTCACTGCCGGGTGGGGGCAGGAAAAAGAGGATGTGGATGCAACATCTTCGGGGACTAGGAACCCTTAAGCCAGACAGTAGTGGGTGGGTCGGGCATTTGAAGCGGTCCCAACCCTCCCACCCCAGCCCCCTGATCTGCTGGACCCTTAGACCAAGGCTGGCCCGCATGTCCCCTCTGATCCCAGGGCTTTCTCCGCCTAGGACAGCCCACCTGCTCGACCTCAGCACCCAGGACCTCCTCCCGGGATCCAGCCCTGGCGGGAGGGCGCCGGTATAGGCTCCTCTGCGCGCCCCAGGAGCCCTACTCCGGAGGTCCAGCCGGCGGCGCCTGGGGGCGGGGCATCCGGCCGCGCGCACCAACCCAAACATTACCATAAATGCTCAGGCTGCAGCCTCGGGCCGCGCCGGGCTTGGCGGGGTTGGGGGGGGCGGCCTGGGGGCCCTCCCGGAGCCCTTTATCCGGTCCTTTGGCCCATCCCTGTGCGGCCGTCAGAGGTGATTCAATCTGTCCTGTCACCCCCTCTCCAAAGTGGGGTGGGTGCGGGGGAGGCCGGGAGAGAACTATCTGGATGGGCAGTGGGCTGTGATCCCAGGTCAGAGTCTCCAGGCAGGATTTCACCATCCGCGCAGAGTTGAGGGCTCTGCGGGACCCACTCCTCTCAGGAGTGATTTCTTGGGTCTCAGTACTCTGACCTCTGAACCCTAGATCCTCTCTTATTTCCCGGTGCCCCGACCTAAACTTGGAGAGTGAGGAATGATGGAGGCGGGCCAGGATGCTGGGAGTTTACACCTCTCCCCTTCTGGGAAGTTCACATCCGGTCCCCAAAATACCACCACGCAGGGAGAGGAATGTCCCCAGAGGGCTGTTTAAGTTTGACTTTGAGTTGTCCCTGAGAAAAAGCCAGCTGATGTACAGTTGGGAAGGCTGTGGGAAACCTGGGAGTGCCATATTCTGGGTCCCCTGGTCTTATTCTCTCTGAAGAATACTTGTGCATTTCTTTTGCCCTTAGCTTTAAGCCAGGAGATCGCATTGGAGGGGTGGGGTGTCTGGAAGCCCCCCTGTAGCTGCCCAGGCTCTGGCCTGCTCTCTCCCTGGACCTGGCACCCCAGTGGCTGGGGCCCTCTAGGGAATATGAAAAGTGGAGGGGACACAGGATTTGGACACAATGGTGGCTGTACTCTCTCACTGGCACCATCCCTTCACATGCCTGTCACATTGGAAACTGCTCCATCAACTATGGTCTCAAACAGCATGAAAGACTGATGGTTTTGCTACCAACTTAATGGGTCTCTTGTAAGTAAACTCTGACTCTTCAGAGGGAACACAGCAGTGCGCTGACCCAAGGAAAGAAACTATGCATATCTCAGGGCCTGTCTCATCTTTGCAGCATGCTTTACAGCTTAGACCTGTTCCTTAGGGTCATTTTCATGACCAGTACTTTTCTTGCTATTTACAACAAAAAATGAGGAAATGGGAAACACAAAGAGTTACGTACCTCGCTGATCATGGTGGTGAATGTCTGTAATCCCAGAGACTCAGGAGGCTGAGGCAGGAGGATTACAAATTCCAAGCCAGCCTTAACAATTTAGCAATGCCAGACTGGGGATGTGGCTCAAGCGGTGGCATTCTCCCCTCGCATGCGTGCAGCCCGGGTTTGATCCTCGGCACCATATGCAAGCAAAGATGTGTGTCCGCCGAAAAAACTAAAAAATAAAATATTGGAATTCTCTCTCTCTCTCTCTCTCAAAAAAAAAAAAATTTTTTTTTAAATTAACAATTTAGCAATGCCCTAAGTGTCTTACTGACACTCTCCTGTCTCAATAAAAAATAAAAAGGGTTGAGGATGTAGCTCAGAGATAAAGTGCCACTGGGTTCAATCTCCCCAATACAAAAGAAAGAGAGAGAGTTTCATGACCTAAAGTTACATAGGCAGTGAGTGATGGAATTACATTTTAAAAGTTATAGTTAGGCTGGGGTGTAGCTACAAAGCTCTAGGTGCAATCATAGCACTTAAAATGCACATAACACAGAATTTACAATTTTAAGCATCTTTAAGAGTACAATTCAGTAGTATTAAGTACATTCACTGTGTTGTGCAACTATCTCTACTATCTAGTTTCAGATTTTTTTTGGGGGGGTACTGGGGTGGTGGAACCCTGGCCTCCATCATACTAAGTATGTGCTCTATCCCTGAGTGACACCCCAGCCCCAGAACTTTTTCATCACCCCAAGGAACTTAAATTTGAAGGAAGATTTATCTAGCTCCAAACCCGTGCACTATGTCTGTAATTTTTATAGCTTGATGAAGAGCTGGATCCTGTGGCATAAACAGGAAGTGCAAAAGGGATTCAGAAAGGGAGTGTTAATGTAGACTTTGGGCTCCCTCCACTAACCAGGAAAGTCTTTTTGGAATGTGGAAGTTTCAATGAGAGGTCAGGTTCTGAGAGAGGAGGAGCGAGGGCTTGACATTCTGGGCAGGGAAAATGGTACAAGTAAAGAGGGATGGGAGCAGAGAAAGGGAGGGACACTTTCAGTGATGACTGCAGAAATTTCTGTACAGGTGGAGTTTCAGAGAGGCATCAGCCTTCAGAAGATGGAGTTGGCAGGAGGCTCAGGGACTTGTTTTGAATTGAAACCCTCTACTTTTATTTTAATCATGTTTACTTGGAGGCTCCACCAAAATTCTACCCATCTTGACACCACCATTGTGCAGACGGTCGGTGCTCAGTGAAGAGTGGTAAACTAGAAATTCAACAGGACATAACTGTCACCAGCATGGATCCACAAATTACTGACAGCATGTTGTCCTATCACCTCTGTTTACAGATGTTGCTTGCTTATGAGGTTTAAAGACTGAAGCCCCACAGGCATGGTGGCTTAGGCAGGAGAATCTCAAGTTCAAGGCCAGCTTCAGCAATATAGTAAGGCCCTGAGCCACATAGTGAAACCCTGTCTCAAAATAAAAAATAGAAAGGACTTGGGGATGTAGCTCAGTGGTTAAAACGCCCTGAGTTCAACCCCCAGTACTCCCCTGTGCACAGACACACAAAAAGAATGATTCCTCTGATTCCCAGAACCACATGCTTCAACTGTCATCCATGTGACCACAGAGCTGTCACTTCCTGAGAGGACCTCCAAGCGGGTTCCATATGGTTCTGGCATTGTGGTGACACCCTGGAAGGATGACCTTGGATTCGTTACAGTGATTAAAAAAAAAAAAAAAAAAACCACCCAGTGAGGTGGCATACTGATCTCTGGAAATCTCCCTTGTGAAAGCTCTAATGACAGCATGCATGCCACACCCCCATCACCCAGCCTAGTACACACCCAAACCCCAGTCCTGCCAGGGAGAAGGTGCCTTTATAGCATGAACTCCTTTACTCCATTCATTCATTGGCCCTTGAATAAAATGTCCTGCCTGCTCCGGGGACTGTTTGGTTATTTATATACAGTATTGAGCAGAAAAGAGGGTGCATGTGTGTGGGAGCTCTGGCAGAGGAGGCAGAGTTAGGACATGGGGAAGAGCTTGGATCTTAAAATAGGTTAGGCAGTGCTGGGGACATAGCTCAGTGTAAAGTATTTGCCTAGCATGTGAAAGGCCTTGTGTTCAATCTGCAGCACTGCCAAGAAGAAGAAGAAGAAAAGAAATTAGGCAATAGAGAGCCACTGCAGGTTCTTGAGCAATGACCACATGGTGTGATGAAATTGGGATTTAAGTTTACAATGGTTTCTCCATTTCTTCCCGGCCTGGGAGCGCCCCCTGGTGCCCCTAGTTTTTTTTTTTAATTAAAAAATKTTATTGATGCATTTAGTGAGAGTCATTGTTACGTGTTCATACATGCACATGATCTAATAATACACTTTGGTCAGTATAATTCTCCGGTGTTTCCCTTCTTCCTCCCCTCCTCCCTGCCTTTGGCCCCTTTCCTCTACTGGTCTCCCTTTGATTTTCAGGAGGTGCCCTGTTCCCCCATAACTTTCTTTCCCTTTTCCTCTCTAGCTTCCACATAGGAGAGAAAACATACAACCCTTGACTTTCTGAGTTTGGCTTATTTCATTGATCATAATGGTCTCAAGTTCCATTCGTTTACTTGCCAGTGACATAATTTCATTCTCTTTTGTAGCTGAATAAAACTCCATTGTGTATATATACACCATATTTTCTTTATTCATTCATCCACTGACAGACACATAGGCTGGGTACGCATATATCTCCATAGTGTGATGACTTGAATACTTTTTTTTTTTTTTTTT